CTGACCCATAGCGACCCTGTATAGGGTTTCCGAGGAGCAGCTGGTGAGCTTGAACTGCTGACCCTGCAGTTCAAATGGCTTGGCAGTCTGGTGCATTAACCCACAGTGCCACACCAGGACTCCTATATCAATATGGTGGTGGTGGTTATGTGTTGTGGAGTCAATTCTAACTCATAGCGACCCTGTACAGGGTTTCTGAGGCTGGAAATCTTTACGAGAGCAGAAAGCCTCATCTTTCTTCTGTGAAACAGCTGGTAGTTTCGAACAGCTGAACTTGTGGTTAGCAGCCCGATTCATAGCCACTACGCTAAGGTTCCTAAACTGTAAATCTTTGTAAGAGCTGGTGGTTCAAGCTCACCAACTGCTCCTTGGAAACCCTATACAGGGTCGCTATGGGTCAGAATTGACTCGATGGTACTTAACAATAACAACAACAAACTGTAAATCTTTGTAAGAGCAGACAGCCTATCTTTCTCCCATGGAGAGTCTGGTGTGTTTGAACTGCAGTCAGTAGCCCAACATCTCCCCACAGCACCAGCAGGGCTCCTCAAAAGCAAACAGTTGTCTAGCCTAAATCGTAAAGATTATCTGCCTGCCTGGAGTATTGTGTTCTTTCAAGATCTCTCAGTATGGGATCCAATTGACAACAGCAACTCCAAAGATTAGATAGGAACCTTAGGGGCTTGATGTTAATCGGGAAGGATTCATTCAGGAACGGCAGCCGAGAATGGCTGCACATCTGGAAGACTGTCAACAGTGTCCCTGGATTGCACGTGGAGACATTTGCCTTGGTGCATGTTCTGCTGTGTGTCTTCTCAACAACAACAACAATCTACCACAGACAAGCAAACAAACAACTATCCATCCACCTGTGCTGAGGTGATCTTTGACAAAAGACCAAAACACCTTAAAAGGAGGAGACAAAGTCTCTTTAATAAACGGTGCAGGCAAAACTGGAAATCTATTTGCAAAAGAATGAAACAAGACCCAAAAACTTAACATGGATTAAAGACTTAAATGGAAACCCTAGAACTATAAAGATCATCGATGTAAAAATAGGGACAAGCTTACAGGCTCTGATCCATGGTATAAACACACTATCAAACATAACTGAAAACACAAACATCTGAAGACAAAGTAGATGACTGGGACTGCCTAAAAAGTAGGCATGTGCATCAAAAGATTTCAACCAAAGAGTAAAAACAGATTTTTTAGGAAGATTTTTTTGGCTGTGACATTTCAAGCAAGGACCTACTTGCTAAAATTTATAGAAAACTTCACCACCTCAATAAGAAAAAGACAAATAATCCAATTTAAAAATAGGCCAAGGACATGAACAGACACTCTACCAAGAAGACATTCAGGCAGCCAACATACAGAAGAAGAAATTCTCATGATCACTAGCTGTTGTTGTTGTTAAGTGCTGTAGAGTCGGTTCTAACTCACAGTGACCCTCTATAGGGTTTCTGAGGAGCAGCTGATGGATCAGAACTGCTGACCTTGTGGTTCGCAGTCCAGGAGTCCTGTAAAATGGTGCAACCACTGTGAGAAACGATATGGTACTTTCTCAGAAGGCTGGAACTAGAAATACCATACGAGCCAGCAATGTACTTGGTATATATCCTCAAGAAGTAAGAGCTATGACACAAATAGGTATTTGCATACCCAAGTTCATTGCCTCCTTAGAAGTCAAGATGACCAGACTTCATCTCTCATACTTCAAGACATAGTAACAGGAGGGACAAGTCCCTGGAGAAGAATGTCATGCTTGGTAAAGTGGAGAGTCAGAGAAAAAAGGGGAGACCCCCAATGAGATGGATTGGCACAGTGGCAGCAGCAATGGGCTCAAGCATGGTAGCAATTGTGAGGGTGGTACAGGACCAAGTGATGTTTTGCTCTGTTGTACACAGGGTAATTATGGGTTAGATATACTCAAGGAGTCCTGGTGTGGCGCTGTGGGTTAATGCGCCAGACTGCAAAGCTATTTAAACTGCAAGGTTGGCGGTTCAAGCTCACCAGCTGCTCCTTGGAAACCCTATACAAGATCACTGTGGATCAGAACTGACTTGACGGCACTTAACAACAACAAAATGACTCGATGGTACCCGACAACATGTTCATTGCAGCACTGTTCACAATAGCAAAAAAGATGGCAACAAATAGATGTCCATCAGCAGAGGAATGGTTGCACAAATGATACAAACACACAATGAAATTTACACAACACTGAAGAATAACAATGAGTCTGTAAAACACCACATACACGTGGGAACCTAGAGAACACTGTGCTGAGTGAAATTAGTCCATCACAAAGGGCAGGTACTATTGTAAAAAGTCAAGAAAAGGATTTCAGTCTATAATAAACAATCTATGATGGTTATCAGGGTGGGAGGGAAGGGGCAATTAATTATTCACTGGGTAGAGGGTAGACATGTGCTAACTTGGTGATGGGAACGCAGTAAAATGAAGAAGGGGGAACAAAAGGAAATTACTTTCTTTTCTTTTTTCTTTTCCTTTCATGAATTGGAAGGGAAACAATATATACTTATTTACTTATTTTCTCACTAGGACAAACCATTTGGAACTTTCCTGTAAATCAAAAAAGGGGAAAGATAAGAAGGGGGGGGAAACAAAAACAGTAAAAGACAAACAAAATGACCTTTAAAAAAGAATCCTTGGGATTTCCAATAAACTCTTAGAGCCAATCAAAACACACTAAAAAATTCACTCTTGCTGGACTATCCCTTGTCCCTGGGGGACACAGGTGACCAGTCACCGCTGTAGGGCAGCAGGGAAGGAGGAAACTGACAAAGGATAATGTGGCATGGTGGGATGTGGGGGTGACGCACATGGCCTCGCGTCTCCTCACTGCCCTTCTCCCTACCTTCCATCACCAGAAATGAAAAAGACTCAGCAGTGCTCTGGAGAAGTCCATGGAAAGGGTTCCCTTCAGCCCTCAGTCTGGGCAACAGCAGACACACTCTAAACAAGTAAAGATAAGTTGGTGAGATTCCCAAACTCAAGTCATTGAAAGGCCTATAGGACCAACTGTTCTTAAAGGTCTCACATTAGAAGGTCCTAGACAGAGTGGGAACAAAATGCGGAACAAAACCCAGAATCATACAAAAAGACCAGGCTTATTGGTCCGATAAAGACGGGTGGAACCCCAAGACGATGGTTCTTAGTCAGCCTCTAGGTGGGATAATGTAGACAACTGGTATACCGTGGTTAATAAAGTTAATGTTAGACACCCTGTGGGCAGCCATCTGATAGACAACTGTGGTCCCTACTCCTCTGTAGTAAGAGAAGGAAAGAAACTAATGGATTGAGGCAGAGGACTTAATAGGGCACCACAGATTCTCCTACCGTGAGAGCAACACATCTAGATGGTGCCCAGCCGTTACTTTCGACCACTCTGACCGGGGACCCAATAGAAGGTCCCAGTAAAAAAACGAGAAAAATGTAGAACAAAACTCAAATTCCTGAAAAAAAAAAAAAAAAAAAAACTCAACTTACTAGACTGATAGAGACTGGATAAACTCCTGAGACTATCACCCTAAAATGACCTTTAACCCAAAACTCAAACCACTGTTTCAGCTAAACAACAAATTAGATTATAAAATAAACACTGTCATCTACAAATAAGGTGTCCTTTAAACAATTCATAAAATGAGACCAAACGGTCAACATTTACCCAAAAGCAATGATGAGAAGGCAAGGGGGGAAAGGGAAGCTAGATGAGGAGAAAGAGAACAACCAGAATGAAAAGCCGAGAATGTTGACACACTGAACAACCTATAACCCATGGCGTGGAACAATTAGTGTACGAATTTTCCTTGTTAAATGGGAACCCAGTTCACTGTTTAAAGTACAATGAAATATTGAGAGAGAATATTCAGCCATTGACAACCTATGGTTGGCAGATTATTTTCTGCCACTTGTATGGCATAAGGGAAGTATCCGCCATCAGTGGATTAAGTCTAATTGAGATGAAGAATAGATGCATTTTGGTTATTTTCTTCCTTAGCCTAAAGCTCTAGTGGCTCAATGGTTAAGCACTGAGCTGCTAACCAAAGAGTTGGCAGTTCAAACCCACCCACTCACTTTGTAGGAGAAAGACTTGACAATCTCTATAAAATCACAGCCTAGGGCACCTCATGGGACACATTTACTTGGTCCTACGGGTTCACTATGAATCAGGATCTACTCTTCAGCACCTAACAACAACGTATAGACACAGAGATGAATTTAATACCCGTATAGAACTGCGTATGTATTATGAGTCCTTGGGTAGTGTCCATGGCTAACGTGCTCAGCTGCTAATCAAAAGGTTGGAGGTAAGAGCCCATCCAGAGATGCTTAGAAAGAAAGACCTGGAAAATCGGTCACTGAAGACCCTGTGGAGCACAGTCTACTCTGTCACATATCGGGGTCACCGTAGGTCAGGGTCAACTCGCAGCAACTGTTTTTTTATATGGTTGTTGTTGTTAAGTGCTGTCGATTCAATTCAGACTCACAGCAACCTTGTATAGGGTTTCCAAGGAGCAGTTGGTGGGTTTGAACCGCCCACCTTGTGGTCAGAAATCCAGTGCTTATCCTACACCTCCACACTAGGAATCAAATTTAAATGGGTCTCCTTAGGTTGGATCCATCTCACTATAACCATCAAATGCATCTTGACAAAAATGTCCATTTCTGTTCAAGTATGTTCATCAATGGAGTTCTGGTGTGGTATTACAGGACAATGTGCTGGACTGCAAGGTCAGTTTGAACTGCAAGTTTGGTGGTTCAAACCCACCAGCCTCTCCTCAGAAGCCCTATACAGGGTCACCATGAGTCGGAACCAACTTGACAGCACTTAATAACAGCAACAACATGCCCATCAGCACCTGCAATTTGCCTAGACAGACTATGTTGTTGTCACAATTCATTGAGAACACAGAACACACTTTAAAGACACTTGTTACTTGTGCTATAGAACAATCACAGCATTCTCTTACCTCCTGTAAAAACTTGTCACTCATTTGACTGAAATGATGTCCCGGGGGCTTGATCCCAGATACCATCACCCCCGAGCTGAAGACCCTCGGCTTCGGCATGTCTGGCTTGAATTTCTCATAGAGGGTGGCAGGTGGTTTAAGGTCTCCACTTGCTGTCTTCTCCTCTTTGGGAAGAGGTGTGCTACATGCAGGTGGGGCGTAAGGGAGTCCCACTGGAACCAGCGAAGCGTCCACCTGACTCAGAGCCTGAGGACTCCTCCTGATGTAGGTGATGATTTTGGGTCTCACGTGTTTCGGTTTGGGCATGATAATGGGCTTGACTTCTGTCTTGTCCACCTGTCCATTCTCCATGCCTTCCTGTGGGGCAGGCGTGTCCTTGGAATGTGTGAGGACAGACTTGGGGATCCCGCTGGGGCAAATGGTCTTGTCAGGCACTTTTGGGGATGTGTTGAACAACAGCATGGTATCAAGGGCAGGCAAAGATGCCACAGAGGACCCTGTGTCCACATCCAACATGCCAAGACCCTGGACACTGCTACTAGCTAGTATGGGCTGATGAGTCACACTGATAGTTGGGATACTGATGGGTGTTGGGACACTGAGAAGAGAGCTGGCCACTGCTGGGGTACTTTCAGTCTGAGCTGTGTTTTCCAGAAGGTTCCCAGTTTCAGCAACAGATGAGGTCATTTTCTTGTTTTCTCTTGCTTCCGAGCTACTGCTCAGAAGAGGTTCAGAAACCCCAGCATTGCTCTCTGCAGCAGAAGAATCCGAAGTTAAAGACGCAGCCATGTTCATACCTCTGCAGATCAACATCCTGTTCTCATTGACATCAGAGGGCTCACTGCTGGGTGGACCACCAATAGCAGACACTACCTGACCATCATCTAATGAAATCTTGTGTGGCGGTGTTTCACCCAGCTGCCGACCGACACTCAATGAAACTCTGTCAACAGGCAGATTTTCAGCAACTCTCATGGCAGCCAGGCCCTCTTTGCAGACGGTTTGAGGAGAGTCTCCATCCAGAGCAACTTCCCTCTTCTCATCATCACAACTTTCTCTTCCCTGCCCAAGATCCTGGGCACTACAGCTGGGTAGATGGCTAGTTGTACCAAGAGCTTCTTGGTGTGAAGATAACGTCTCTGCGTTCCCACAGGGCTCTCCTCTGTCTAAGCGTAGCCCACTGTCTTTCTTATGATACCGCACACATTCCACCTGGGCTGGCTTCAGTTCCTGCATGGCGCTGGGTTGAGCATACTTCAGTTCCCTCTTGGGCTCCTCCTTCCCTTGAGTTACTTGTGCTTCTGGCTGACCAGAGATTGCCTTGGAGGCTGTGGTTAAATCCACAGTGGACTCTGTTTGTGCAGGATGTGATGTGCTTTCATTCTCCCACTCCCTCTGGGTCTCTGAGGGGGTGCTGTCCTTGGTTTCTGAGGTAGATGGTTTGGGATGCAGTCCAATCTTTTCCTCTGAGGTATTATCAGCTGGGTAAATAGCGTCCCCTAGACAATGACTTGGCAATGTCTTCCGTGGATCTCCCACACCCCGAGAAACATGGCGTCTTGGGGCTTCGGTGGCGTCCACTGAGGCAGGCAGCAAATCCTGCTCAGTCACACCCCCAGTATCTTCCTTGGTGAATGCATCCACCCCAACCGCATGGCCGCTTGCTCTTCCCACAGGCTGTTTCCTCAGCTCCTCAGAGTCAAGGGTCTTTGCCAATTTATCTTTAGGGGCATGCTGGGTAATGTCAGCACTGCGTTTAGCCAAGACCTTGGGACAGGTCTCACTCAAAACATTCCTCCAGGTTGACAGGGTAGGTCCCTGAATACCCCGAGGGGTCTGCAAAAGAGCTGTGTCTTTCTCCACTGTGTGAACCACCAACGAGACTGGACAATCCTTTAGCCTGGTGGGTCCAGCCTGTGAATCTTTCCCAAACTCCGGAAGCTTCTGGAATTCCTTACTGAAGTGGATACTATTGGGGGGTTCCCTTGAGTTGGCATTTCCAGTGTCATCCACCAGGCCACACGCCTGTGACTCTGTGTGAGGGGAACCAACCTCCGCCATGATTTGGTTGGCATTTGTATCTCCCAGACTGAGAACATTCTCATTGTTGTTGGTCACACCGTTTCTGCTGCCCTGTAACTGTGCGTAGCATGATTTCTTAGGAGCCATTGGAATACTCATTGTCTACCCTTCGATGGGAAGGGGTCACTAACAAGCCACAGTGTGGCAGACAGGAAATCCTCAAGCTGATTGCCGGATCCTGACAACGTCACATGCTCTGGTCATTTTCAGAAAAGTTTTGAAACCAAACATTGTGTTGGCCTGCAGCCCAATGACGCATTTGTTAGGTTCCTGCTGAATGAGAGCCCGCTAGAGTCCACGAGACCTGCAGACAAAAAAAATTGCATCAGATCGACCTGAAATTCTTAGGAGACAAAGTCAATAAATACAGATCTATTCATCACTCCTATAAACATATTTACATTCCATCAACACATTTTTCAAAACACCTGTCATACAGAGGTTTCAATTGACCATAAATGGAAAAACTGAAATCATGTGACAAGTGGATAAAAACATACTAAATTTTACAAAGGCGTCTTGGTGGCACAACCAGTTCAGTGCTAGGCTGCTAACCGAAAGGTTGGCTGTTAGAATTTACCCACTGGAACTCTGGGAGAAAAGTCTAATGGTCTGCCCCCATAGAGATTCCAGTCTACAGGGCAATTCTACTATACCACATGGGGTCTTTATGAGTCGAAAATGGCACCACCATACCTGAAATCACAACAAATTTTACAAAGTCACAAGTCCATACAGATACTAAAAAATAACAAAGGATGGAGTAAAGACTAAGTCTCTTCTTTATAGAAGAACATCAGCTAACATAGAAAATTGTGTTTGTTGTTCATATATGACCAGACTTCATCTCTCACACTTTGGACATATTATTAGAAGGGACCAGTCACTGGAGAAGAACATCATGCATGGTGAAGTGGAGGGTCAGAGAGAAAGAGGAAGACCCCCAACAAGATGGATTGGCACAGTGGCAGCAGCAATGCGCTCAGGCGTAGCAACGATTGTGAGGTTGGCGCAGGACCGGGCAGTGTTGTGTTCTATTGTACAGAGGGTCGCTATGAGTCGGTACTGACTCGATGGCACCTAACAACAACAACAGTAACAATCACAGTCATTTCTGATTCACAGCAGCCCCACAAACAACAGAACACAAGACTGCGCCGTCCTCACACCAGTCCTATGTGGAGCCTACTTCTTGAGCGTCTTTCTCATTTTTGGTGATCCTCTCTACTGGAGTCCTGGGGTGGTGGGTTAATGCGCTGGACTGCAAAGTCGGTTTGAACCACAAGGTCGGCACTTCAAGCTCACCAGCCACTCCTGGGAAATCCTATACAGGGTCGTGGTAAGTATGATGTTTTTCTCCAGGGACTGGTTCCTCCTGATAGCATCTCAAAAGTATGGAAAACAAAAATCTTGTCATCTTCACTTCTAAGGAGCATTCTGGTTTCTTACATAGATACGTCCCCAAACACAGATTTGCTTGCTCTTCTGGCAGCTCACGGTATATTTAATAATCTTCACCATAAATCAAAGTCATTGATTCTTCCAACTTCTGTATTCACTGTCCAGCTTTCACATGAATAAGAAGTGATCGAAAATACCATGGCTTGGGTTAGGCACATCTTAGTCATCAAAGTGATACCTTTCCTTTTTACCTTTTTGTTTTTAAGTTTTCATTGTGAATTGAATGAAGATTTACAGACTAGAACATCAGTTTTACTTCCAAGAAATCTTACACTTTGTTTCATCTCAATGATTGCAATCCCCTCCGAGCAACAACAATGATCCCACCACTTCCCTGGGGTTCCTGTTTCCATTCCACCCTCCTTCCCATTCCTGCTCAACTTGGTCCTTAAATAAATGCTGCCCTTTTGATCTTGAATGGTTGACCATTCCACGGTTAGCATATCTGACCAGTGTTTTTGTTCCTTTATAAACCGATCTACTGCTTGGCTGGAAATTGGGTCTCAAAGATAAATTCTGTTCCAGACATGAACGGTAACCAAGCGCCATAGTCTTGGGTTCCTCCAGTCTCTTTATGCCCAATAAGCCTGGTCTTTTTTATGATTTTGAGTTTTGCCCACATTGAAAATTGGGGAACAAGTTACGTACAAGGTTTTCAAGTATTGCTCTACATATTATTGTACTTCTCACTGCACTTGTATCTGCACAGTTCCACCTTAACCATGTGTCCACACATCCACCACCAATAATGGAAACTGACATCATGTGTCCCGGATGTTAGAGTCTTCTCAGCCCACACATCACTGGTGTAGCATTCTTGCCATGGAGGCTCAATCCAAACGAAATTGTGAGGAAATAATCAAATTCAAACTAAGGGAACATTTGACCAATTAACTGGCTTAACTCTTCAGAATAGCTAACAGGTATCTAAACACAGTGTACAATCTTTGACTGGGCCCTAGATTTGAAATAAATGTTCATAATGGACATCGTTGGGATAACTGAAGATGTCAACATAGACTTAAGAGGGGGCTTCAAAAAATTCGTTGAAAAACTCCACTACCCTCTCATTTCATTTGTCCACTCGGCAGCAGCTAACTACAACATTCAAAAGGGGATTGCCAGACCTTTCTTCCTCAGCTGTCTGGTTGGGAAGTTCTGCTGAAATCTGTCCACCATGTGCGACCCTGTTGGTAATTAAATCATAGCTTCCAGTATCACTCAAGCCACACACTGACAGTTAGGTGGTGCTGGGTGTATGCTCAGCCCAACGTGCCCTGCCATTTAATATCTGCAATGACCTCCAGAGATACCTCATAGCAACCCTACATGACAAAATAGGACCCTAGAGCTTGGGGTGTTCAAAGCTGCAAATCTTTATGGGAACAGGCTGTCACATCTTTCTCTCATGGAGCAACTGGTGGGTTTGAACTGCCGACCTTGTGGTTATCTGCTGGATGTTTAATTCACTGTGCCACCAGTGCTCTTTGCCTCTGACCATCTGGCTGCTTCCCCACCTTCCCCCTAGATGATGTTCCTAGGGTCACACAGCTAAGAAGTAGCAGAGCAGGGACAAAGCACAAAGTTGGGACTGTAAAAGAAAGTGAGCCTGTGCCAATCAGTCTCAGCAGGAATCAAAAGCACAGATGCCATCAAAGAACAAGAATGGAAATGTCAAAGCCAAAAGGCAGAGAAGGAGAGAAAGCAGAAGCAAGGTGGAAGAAGTTATTGAGAAAACCTTCTTCTGTCATGTAAGATAAACCCGCAAACAGGAGGTAAGGGCTTTCACTTCCTCCCCCATCATCTCCCAGTCTCCCCCACACTCTCCAGTCTCACCCCCAGACCCACTTTACACTGTCACCCCAAAGCTATCAGTCTGCCAAACAACAATCTCAAAGCAAAAACAAACGAGTTTTTCCAGACCTGAGTTTCAATACAAGATATCTTAAATGCAAAATATGATCTTCGTCATTCTCATCCCTTCTGGGCACAGGGTTGATATGAGTGGGCAACTTAGACATTGGTTACTTAAAATGGGGGAGCAGCAGGGCTGTAAAGGCATAAAGTGAATGGCTTACAAGTTTTCATGAGAGAGTTTAGATTCAGAGTGTGCAAAAGAAGGTAGAATCCCCACTGAGTGATTTTCATCCTGTCTAGACGGGTCTGATGAAAGGAGATGGGGACAAGATTCTCATGATTCCATAGTGAGTAACTGTTATCATAACTAATTGCGATTGTTGCAACTGTATATGTAGAAATTTTGTAGCAAAAAGGGGTGAGTGGTTTATCTTACAGTCCCAGAGTGAAGGACCCTGAGACCCTCAAGGAAGAAGAGTGGGAGTGGAGTGTGGGACCCTACCCAGAGAAGCAGTGACACCAGAGATGGAGGCAAAGATGATGATATGGAGAGATGGAGCAGCTGAGGATTCTAGACTCATGGAGGGAGAGGGGCTGTGTGCTGGTGGCCAGGGGGCAGGCTTGTAGAGTGTACCCTTTGGCTGTTTGAATGACTGTATATTCCTGAGAGTGTTGTACACATCCAAAACAAAAACAAAAACCCAGAGGGAATAGAAGCAAATGCTGTTGAATGATGAAGCATGGAGGGGACTGTAATCATTGCAGTGAAACGAATATGATTGCAATCATTGCAATGAAATGAATATGATAAGTTGAGTGTAAAACTGATGTTCCCCCATGTAAACTATCACTCAATTCACAACAAAAACTTGAAAAAAAAAAAAAGATCGTCAGATTTCAGGCTCATAAAACAGGATTATGTGTAAGTAGGGGTTCCTTCACTATAGGTCGGATAACCAAACAGTTAATATGCTCTGCAGCCAACTGAAGGGTTGGAGGTTCGAGTATATTCAGAAGTGGTTTGGAAGAAAGGACTGGCAGTCTACTTCTGAAAAATCAACCACCAAAAACCCTAAGGTGTACAGTTTTATTCTAACACACATGGGGACGCCATGAGTCAGAATCAACTTGATGGTAGCTTTTTAACTGGTGGTGTCCTGGTGTGGCACTGTAGGATACGCACTGGACTACTGACCACAAACTAACTGCAAGGTTGGCGGTTCAAACCCACCAGCCACTCCGCAGAAATCCTATGAGAAACTGCTGCAAGTCGGAACCAACTTGAAGGCCCTTAACAACAAATGACCCAATCCACGGACAATGAATAAGGAAGACTATAGAAGGGTCAATGCATTTGAATGACGGTTTTGGAAGAACAAACAAATCTGTGTTTGGAAGAAGTACAAGCAGAGTGCTCCTTAGAAACCAGGATAACCAGATTTCGTCTCTCATACTTTAGACATGTTATCAGGAGGGACCAGTCCCCGGAAAAGGACATCATGCTTGGTAAAGTGGAGGGTCAGCGAAAAAGAGGAAGACTCCCAACAGGATGGATTTGCACAGTAACAGCAATGGGCTCTAAGTGTAACAATGATTTGTGAGGATGGTGTGGGACCGGGTAGGGTTTCGTTCTGTTGTGCAGAGGTCGCTATGCGTCAGAAGGACTCCACGGCACCTAAGAACAACACAGTCAGCTGCATTAACCCTCTCCCTTCCCATTGAGGTACATTTTCCTGGGGCAAGACAATTTTTACTCAGATCCATGGCTATAAAAAAGTTATTAATGA